ATTCCACTCCTCTCCCCTCAATCGCTAATATTATAGGAACGACCTTTAGTTTGAAAAGCACTGTTCATAGTATTATATATAGATAAGAAGCGACCAAAAATCCAAAACGGCTTATAATAGTTATTGCTTTTGAAACTTCTCAAAATATATCGATCTCCTGCGAGAAAAAAAATTTTGGATTTATTTTTTTGTGTAATCCTGAGACTGGAACTGCAGAGAACTAATCGCGGTCTCGTGCGAGGTACGTTTATTAAAAACGTATTTACTGTATTATACAGTTACTTTTTCGAGTCGAAAGTTTCATTCAGTTCTGTTATATTGGGATTTGAAAATATATATATACGAGATATATGTATTATTACACTATAGCTAGCTACTGAAAAAATCATTTTTACAGAAAATTGAAAAATAAATGACACAACCCGTGTCTTGTTTAAAAATCGTTTTGGTCCTTCAGTTAGTATGTCTTACGTTGTTGGAAAATAAAAATGTTGATCYGGTTAGTTTATAGCATGTTCAATTATGCAGTAATAATGTAGACACATTATTGTGATGATAATTACATGGGTAGGTAAACGTAATAAAATATTATATAGAATTCAAAATGTTACTTTATAGTTTGTAATGATAAATTTTATTAAAACATAAAAATAGAACCAGCATCGTACCAACGGTGGGGGAGGATAGCATCCCCCTTCCACCTGAAATTTTTGAATAGTTTAATTTATTCTGAGAAAACTGAAATATCTGTAAATTAATTGTATCTTACTTAATGTTCTTAGGTATAACAAATTATCCATTATAGTAAAATAAACAGCATAAATTTTAAAATACCTTTGTAATATTATTCTATGTAATTCTGATTATAAATATTGAATACTGCAGCTTACATTATTAAATATTTTGATGGTGGGTACCTACGGAGTATGAGTATTTCTACAWAGATATTGACGTGGACGATCGGTGTAATTATTATGACAATTTTTTATCGTCGTCGTAAAACGTATTCTATTTTGTGCTATTAATCACCTAGTGCATTAGCCACTTTAAAAATCTATAATCGACAATCGTTAACGTCGTTTTCATGTATTACCGAGGCATTGATTGGCTCATCTGAGAGCCAATTTTGTTTCAGAAAAAAATAGAAAATTAATGTTCTTAAAAATATATCTAAATTATTATTAATATTTATTTTTATTAATTTTATTATATATTATTTAATATATTTTTTTTATAGATAGGTATGGTTAGGTAGTAGGTAATAACTATAAATTAATAAAAATTAGTCCACTATTAAAATATACGATTTGTTTAGTTATGTTCAGGTGTCACGTTATCCAATGTGTTAATTAAAAATTAACCTTCATCCAAATGTCAGGTCTAAGTACGGCACTACCAGTGACGTTGTTAAACGTCCAATTTACGGACGAGYGATTTATCGGATAAACGTTGTAGAGCGCATATCAAATCATTCCCAGCAAAACAATTTGATTTGATATTAATTACCGTCGGTTATGTTTTTCGCAAATGCAATCAAACCAAACAAGGGTGATCGATAGTTTTTGTAATTACAATACAATATAATTGCTAAACATCTTGGCACCTCACCACTGTCCACGCAGAACACTTATTATTTTGTACCTATATATACATATATGTATATTTAAAGAAATATTAGGSTRTAAACGCCAATATTATGTTGCATAAAATTCTTGTATTATGTATAGTCTGGGGCACATTTATTGCAAGCGTTATTAAAAACTGCAGGCTGAAAGTCAAAAATATTTATTCAAACGAAAYGTTATTTGTGGTACGCGTACAGATAAACAGAACATATGAAATATATCGATCTCAATCCACTCGAGTCATAATATCGTCTCTATTAAAAGGTATATCTCCGAAAAACGTATGACCACCGCGTGAGTATACACCTACGCGTGAGTGATGTGTTCTTTGCAGCACGAACACTTTTAACTCTATTAAGTTATATTTAACGTAATTATATTTAAACGTTTTCAAACAAACAACGAAATATAATTAAACGACTACCAAGTAAAATAATAATAATAATAATAATAATTTACTTTTATTCAAACGACGAAAAGGTAATAATAAGTAAGTGGCTTACTTCGAATTAATTTTATTCCGAACCCTTTTTGATCCTGTCGCTCGTGATGTTTATTTATATATCACATACCTGTCGTCTGTATATTATAATATATTATGTTTACCGTAACTGTGGCGTAAGACGTAGTGGTGGGGGTGAAGGGATGGCAGTATGGGTGAAGTTGAAGCGAAGAGATGTGCCCGTGTCCTTTGACTGTGCGCGCCTTTGAATGACGTCAACAATAAAAAAATCAGGTGAAAATGTCTTTATAATCTAAACTCGGGTTTTTGGCTGCTGCTGTGTTCAACGTATATTATTATGTTAATGRCGACACAAATTACCTTGGGCGTATTGTTTATATAATATTACAACATGAGTAATTCCCGATCTACGTGAAATCGCAAAGAGAAAATAGTACAAATAGTGGACCAAAAAACTAAAAAAAAAATGTTTACGGGATTACCTGCAGCCGCGGGTTGGGTACGCGATTTTCGGATAAAGTCTTATGTGCTAGATCGATGGAGATCGATATTCAACACAAAACTACATTGCTCTTAAAAAAAACAAAAAAAAAACAATAGCCTAACCTTTTTTAGAAATGTATTATTGTTTCAACAATTTTAAATTCTTAAAATCATATATTTTTTTTAATGACAACGGGTAATTTGAATTCCTTATAATCCAAAACAAAATATTTTTTGGTGTACTTCGACTTATGGAAATTGAATTTCGGACGAGTAGTTTATCAGTTACTACTACTTATATACTAAAGTATATAAAAGTATTTAGACAGACTGGCTTGTTGAATGTAGGTGCTACACCGGGGTGTCTCATGAGAAAAATATAGGYTCAAAATTTAAGTACTTAAAACTAATACTAATAAACTACTCGTCCAAAATTCGAAAATTTTATCGATCGACATACCTTGCGATATTACTACTACCGCTCTACAAAGGCCGCTATTAACTGGTAAAAAAGTCATAGTTAAGTCAAAAATAAAATTAATTTTAAGTTAATTAAAAAAAATAAAATATTTAACTTAAATAGTCAGTTTATTATTTACTGATCAACTTATGAACTTAACTAGTTTAATTTACAGTTTAAATATCTTAGCATATTTCAGTTGATTTGAAAATATCCATCAAGTTAAAAACGTTTTGACATTTTTCATTTATACGTCGATAATATTAATATAAAATTAATTTAAAATAACATTTATGTTATTTCTCTTGATCAAATAATTTTGTACATTGATATATATTTTATAAAATTATAGATAACCACAGTCTCTCTTTATGTGATTTACATACTAATTTAAAAAAATGAATAGATTAATTTTTTTTCAAGCTTAGTTACCTAATTTAGTATATTTCCCATCACATTAACTTTTAACATATAGAGTAAAATTTTTTATAATTTGTTAACTGTTAACTTTTTAACTCACCGATCTTGTGTTCTCTTAACTTTACTCAACTCGTGTTAATTATTTTTATTAACTATTCGAAATATAACTACAACTATAGGGCCTACGTGTACATTATAGTTGACCCGTTGGGTTACCTGACGATTTGTTGGCCGCTACGGTCGGCACGGCCGGCGAATAAGCTCTGGCCGGTATGGACCCGGTGGGTGGACGGCCCCTGTTGGGCAGCGTAGCAGACGATCCGGGTGGGAACTGATGGGTCATGTAGTACGGTTGTCCCGGAGCCCCGCCGCTTGTGCATTTGCTTCCCTGCGAACAGACGAGAGAGAAAAGGCGATTAGTATACAATRTCGTCGTGATAATAGCRTTATAATATTAAAGTTTTTATTTATTTGTTTATATACCTAGCAATACTGGACGTGCCCGATTTAATACAATATTTACAAATATAGGTAATACATATTGTTTGTACAAGATATTTTACGGTACAGTCGATGATTGGTCTTTATATGGTTTTTCGCATCATAGTTGTTGTTAAAATTTTGAAGATGTGATGGTATTTCGATAAAAATCGAAATTAATTTGAGTTAATAGTTCTGAAAAATCTTTATAAGACCATCAATAAGAMGCTTAAGGAAATAGTAATATTAGCTTCGAGTCTTCTGTTTTTGTTTTGTGTCAAGTCAATATACCTATATCGTATTCTTATTATTTTATCCTCGACGACGATGACGTATAGCTCGTACAGTCTGGCGAGAAAATAACCGACATGACGTTTCGCGCAGATTATGCGAGTTCAAAGTGTGCAGATAACCCGACCTAACATAATATATAGGTTTACCGGGTTATTGCAATTATTATAGTATAATAATATGGTATGGTCATGGGTGGTTTATACCGAGGATGATGCGTCATTCAAGCGTACGAGCGTATCACAATAAATTACGTGTTGTCGTAGGTATTATAGTACGTTTATTAGATATAAGCGTATAATAAATTGTGACCGCATGGATCATATATAGCGAAATCGCGTACCTCACGCACCTCATCGTGCACACCCATTGCGCGTATAGTAGTCCGACTAAATATTTTAATACTAACATTGTCGTTTCGAAATTAATCGTCTTGACTTTCTATACCRAATAAAAAAAATAAAAAAACAAACCTAAAATAGGTACGCCATTTCGTTCGGGATCGTCTGAGTTAAGAGTTCACGAGCAGCATATCATTATAAATCGGAATATATTAGTGTAACAGAGGTACATATATACATAGGTAATATGATATTGTTGTTAATTGTACGCCCAGTTTTATAATAATCATAATTATTAATTGCCGTTATTACAACATTTAGTACGATAATTACATTAGTTTCATCGTAATGACGTATTATGTTAATTGACGAAAGCGTAATAATATATATTTAGGTGCCGCGCAACATAAACGATTAAATGTTGTTGTGATATTGCAAGGTGGGCCTCGTTGGCACACATATGACGTCGTCGTACACACATAGACATAATATTGCAGGGCTGTGGCTGCTAATAATTAGCGATGCCTCTCGAAGATTATCAAAGCGAACATAACAGTAAAACTTATCAAAATATAAAATACCTTGGAGTAGTGTTAGATAAAAAGATTCACCTGGAATCCTCGTGTATCTTCCAAATTACAGTAAGGTTACCAACGTTTAAAAATACTCTACCTACTAATTAATCGTCAAACTTCATTAAGTCGGGAGTTCTCATTACTGCGTTATATATAACCAAATCATTCGTCCCCTAATATTATATGCCACCCCGGCCTGGGATCAATGTGCCACGACTCACATAAAAAAAAAAATAACGTCCTGCGAGTAATCTTCAAATGCTAATTGGTTTGTTCGAAATGAACCAMTGCACACAGATTTTAAACTACCGACTATCAGAGAGTAGGTACATCAAGGAACTATCAATAAGCTTCTTCGATCGATTGCAAAAAACAAGTGATCAGTTACACAGATTCCRACGTGGTTGACTCTCCATGATTTATTAAATCAATAAACTTGTATAATTRTATAATTGTTAAATTTCTTCGTAATGTGATGATTTTTATTTTTCTGTWCATCAAAAAAACATAGCTATTACTTATACCTATCATGATCTGATTTACAAAATGTCAAAAACTTAATTCTGTATCCCTAAGTTTAGATGATTATTGCCAGGAAAACTTTAAATAATAATAATAATTTAAAAAAAAGTAAAACATATATATATATATATATATATATCATTATAATATCATACGATAATATATACGCTTTTGCACCTAGGTGATTATTATTTCCCGTCGACAGTCAATTAATAATAATTGTTAATTAATGATTAATTCTCGTCTAGAGTTCGTCGAGCGACGATCAAACTTCACTCCCGCCGCTACTGTCTCCTCAGACTTCAAGTGTTCTATACATTATCATCGTCGTCTGCACAACAGTACTGTACGACGAGATATTATTGTTTTACATTATTATCATTATAATCTGCTGGTGCTTCTTCCGGTGCTAGTACTGCTACTACACACGACGCCATGCCCGTCGACGCGGAAGCGACGACGACGACGACGACGATACTGGACACTTTGTTTCTTTTTGCTMAAAAKAACCRTTGATTCGTAAAACGTTTCGGATTATACACTTTTAAATTAATATATGATTTATAATGTTATAACATCGTTTATTGTCACTGCACACGAATCACTATAGTGAATATATACAYAGCAATATATCAGTGTATTGTCAAAGAGAACCACACTGTGGCGGAGCGGAGCGGTGTTCGGTGCGTAATATTTTCTCAGCGATAACCGAACGTATAATTATTATTATTGTGTCTGCATCGACAGAGTACATTATTATTATAATATCATGAAATATAATGATATAATATGCTGTAATATTGCAGTGCGCACAGTAGCCTGGAGGGGCTCTGTCGGCGTGTTTTACGTATACGTACGTAATATAATATATTAACACACGATAATATTGTAATGTTTTTATTATATATTTTGTGTAGGATTCAAAGTCGGTTGTGCAACGGCACGCGCTGTAAACCGC